GGCGGCGGCGGCGGCGGCCGGGGGCTACGGCGGGGTGAGCGGGGCCGTGAGCGGAGCCAAGCCCGGCAAGAAGACCCGGGGCCGGGTCAAGATCAAGATGGAATTTATCGATAACAAGCTGCGGCGCTACACCACGTTCAGCAAGCGGAAGACCGGCATCATGAAGAAGGTACCGGGCCGGGATCCGGGGGGTTCGGGGGGGGGGCCGGGATCCGGGGGGCCGGGATCCGGGGCGAGCGCACACACCACTCCCGTGCGGAAGGTGGGGCCGGGCTGGGAGGTCCGGGCCTTTGCGGAAGAGGGGCCCCCACAGCCGCCTTGGGGGGGGGGAGGTCCCCTTGTGGGGTCACAAAAAGGGGGGTGGGGGCGGCTCGGGACACTGGGGGGCTGTGAGACCCCCTACCTGGCGTGCGAGGGAGCGTCTGGCTATGGGGGCCCAGCGTAACCCCACTGCCAGCCCCCAGGCCTGGACCTGCGGCTGGGGAAGGTGCTGGGTGCTCCCCTGGGAGTATCCCCACACCCCAAGGAGCCAGCCCAGGGTCAGATCGGGTCCGTGCTCGGGGGAGGAGTGGGAAAGGGACTCGGGGTGGCTTCCTTCGGTGGCAGCTGGGGCTTGTCACCGCTCCCCCTTCTGAAGCAGGGACCAGAAAACCAGGAACGCTCCCCCTCCAAGGCTTTGCTGGGCCAGATAAGGTCCTGGCCTGGCTTTAAACCTGCGTGGTAGCGAGAGCGAGCCTGGCCGGCTGGTTGTTGGGGTGCGGCGTGCACCCCTGTGGGATGGAGGCTAAGCCCAGTGTAGGGTTAATAGGAGGGGGTGGTTTGAGTGTGCTGAGACAGGCACGCTGAAAATACTTAGAGAGAGACTTGGGTGACCAGATACACTGATGAGCCAACTCTTGGGTGGCCCTTAGACCCTACTGTAATCAACATGACTGATAATGATGATAGTCTCTTGGCTCAAGGAGACCAGTCATATCGCAGCTGGGCTACGTATTGGCCAGGTACTAAACTGCCAACATGCAGCGCCTAGGGAAATACATGTTAAGTGTTGGTGACGTTTCAGGGCTCCCCCTAGATCGGGAGGAAGGAAGGTGTTTTTAAAGGGGTCTAAATCCTGTTTACACCCACGGAGCTAAGTAGTATTCACAACACTGTCTAAAAAATACTCGTGAACACTCTATAAATCGTCACCTCTTCTCCTGTTCTAGACCCGCTGTGCGCACTGCGTTCCGCGCTAACGGAAACCCTTTGAGAAAGGGATGGGCCGTACCCCGTGAGCGGGGCTATTCTTGCCATACACACGCTAGTGCCCTACCCAATCTAGACGCTGACTGACCCAGCTGGGGAGAGCATTCTAGACTCTTGAGTCCTGACTGTTGCAGAGCTCATCTCGCTATTTGGCCTAGCTGGTCTCTTAGCTTGTCCCTAGGCGTGACCAGATGGAGGTTTGTACAGCCCTAATAGATCCCCTCCCTCGGAGTTCACACCCCCCCACACACACACTGAGTTAAGCTTTGCGCCCCCCCCCCCCCAAGTGTTCACCAAGCCACGCTGGACGCAGCTCTAGCTCCCTTCCTTGGAAGTCAGGCCCTCTTGCCCATAAATCCGCTTGCCAGTTTCCAAACTCTTGACGTATTTCTGGTTCTGAAGTCCAGAACAGAACATGTTCCAGATGCGTTTCTACCAGAGCAGGTCTGTTGTTGTCCAGCCTTCACTTGATGCTTTTACATGTGATCTGTCTTGCTCAGCGGACTTGCTTCCTAGCATCAAGAGATCTTGACTATAGCAAGAGGGGCGAGAACAACCCAAAAATGCAGTATTGGTACTAAGGTGGTGGCCCAGCCTCTCCCAAAAAGGTACAGGGCAGACTTGGGAAGATGGGTTGTTGCTCTGAACATAATGGTGTGACCGAATGCTCTGCCCATCCAAACTGAGGAGTGAAATGCTGAGTGGGTCCCCCTCCATCAGCTGTCTAGCATCTCCACTTGTGCACATGGAGGTGTGGCCAGCCAGGAGTTAGAGAAGCATTCGGAGCGTTACACCTGGTTGGGTAGCAACTCCAGGGAAGGTGACTGGGTGTAAGATATCACCTGAGTGCAGCCATCTCAGCCAGCCGGGTGAACAGTGTGCCGAGGGGCTGTGCTCCTCAGGACTCCAGTGTGAATCCCAATTTACAGAGGATACTGGGAAACATCAGTGTGGGTCCAGGGCTCTTTGGCATCGTCTCCTCCGTCTCAAGGACTGGGCTGAGCTGAGCCAGTTGGGGGTTGAACGATGACTGATTTGAGCCGGGGAATGGGGGTGAGCAGGGATGTAGCAGGCTTGCAGAGGAGACGCTGTTATTTAGGCGAGTCGGGACCAGAGGAGCTTCAGAGAGCCCGAGGCAGGCTGGGAGAACAGGCAGCAGGATGGGAAACCGACTCCGGTGTCAGGAAATGCGAAGTACTGGACGTTAGAGGGGAAAACTTGACCTGTTCGTACAGGTTACTGGGCTCTACTGTCAAGTAAGGAACAGACCTCGGCATCGTTGTGGGGGGCTCTCAAAACCATCAAACAATCGGACCCGATATTCAGATGACTGAGGAATGGGCTGGAAGATGGTGCAGCCCCGTGTGGGCACCGTGTGTAGTTCTGCCACCACATCTCTCCCGGGAGGTTACAGAACTTGACCATTCTCTAGACTGCTCTAGGCCCAGGAGGGCTCCTCTCGGGAGAGCCATTTGTTACCCTAGGGAGGAGCCGAATTGGAGAGGACGGGATAAAAGTCGATAAATGAGTGGGGCAGAGAAGGGAGACCCTTGGCTTACCCAGGTTTGAAAAGGGCTTGGGCATCTCCATGGCTACCGGGAATACCCAGTGTTGTCACGATAGATCCCTTCCAGAATTGTAAACCTTCTGCCTCAGGGCTTACGCCAGTCTCTGGCTGTGCCCATGTGTCCTGAGAAACACTGTGTGTGCAGGGCCCTCTGGGCCAGTACAATGTGATCCCTCCTGGGTAGAGGGGGAAGCTGCTGGGAGAGGGTCCGGGCAGCGGATGAAGGCAGAGAGCTGCCTGTGAGGGGCTGCCATGCTGTGCCATGGGCGTTGGGGCTCACGAGGCCTCTCCGGGAATCTCTGCTGGGCCTGTTACAAACTGGGAAGCATCTGGAGCCGTGGCAGGTTGCCCTTGAGAACAGGGCTGTACCTTGCTGGGTGAGGAGGGTGGCTGGGGGCTGTCCCTTCGGAAGCCAGCCGCTTTGATTCTGTACCACTGATGCATGCGGTAACGTTGCTGGGGATGGTCTGAGGTGATGCACCTGACGGCTGGCTACCCTCTGACAGCACCCCCTTGTCCTTCCTGGCTGTGGCTGGTGGCACGCAGGGCACATGGGGGCAGGTGATGCCATCGGAGGGGTGGGGAAAGCGGAGTTGGCAGGGTCAGTGGAAGCAGAGCCAGCTGCTCACGTGCCCTCCTTGAAGTGCTGCTAAACGGTGCTTTGCCGGGACCCCGGCACTGTCTCCTCCGGCTATGACTGCTCTGCACGGCCGGCAGCGTCCCAGGCGGGGGTGGGGGGGGGCGCTACCTCCTGCAGTACGGGGCTTCTTCCCCGCTAGCCTGGTGTGGCAGTCGCGCCGGTGTAACTGACCTGCCTGGAACGGATTTGTCACCACTCCCTGAGAGCCCGCACCAGGGATTGTCCTGATTTCACTAAACCCGCTCAGAAAGCTGGGCCGTGGCTGCTTCTGGGCTGGGCGCTCCCTGGATCCTTGGGTGCGTGTGTGCCTGGCCGTGGGCCTGAGCCAGCGCTGCTGCTCCCCCGGGGTGCCCTGGCTGGGGACAGGTGGGGTGGGCAGCTTCCCTGTGGGGACTGGGGCTCGGGAAGGCATTGTGCCTCTGGCCGGGACTGCACTAGTGGTTTCTGTCCCCTTTCCCGCTCTTGCCCAGGGCAGGCTGGCCATGTGAGCTGCTCGGAGCGTGGTGGGGAAGGCCAGTGGCCAGCCTGTGCTCCCGTCGGCTGGGTCCAGGCTAACCGTTGCAAAGGCAGAGCGTAGCGCCAGCCGCTGCGGTCCCTCTGGGGGGAGCTCTGCCTGCCCCGAGCGTTGCAGAGCCCCGGAGCAGCAATTTGCCAGTCTCACCTGGGGGGTGGGTGTGCCCACTAGCCCCGGGGGGTGCCTGCCCGGTCCTTGCTCCGCATGCTGAGGTGGTGAGTTGAGCTGTCCCTTGTCGGTCTCGCCCACTTCGGAGGGCCACATGGGTGGGCAGCCTGGGGGAGCAGGGGTCAGTGCTGGGCCTGGCTTGCCGCCTCCGTGCCCTGGCAGGGTGCTGGTGCCAGGTGCCGATGAGCTGACTGGGGGAGCTGCAAACACCAGCTGGGCCAGGGGAGTAACAGGCGCCTGGCAGCGTGGCTGGGAGCGGGGACCTGTGGTCCCCGGATCCTCGGTGGCAGGGAGACGAGTGCCGTACCCGGAGCAGCTGGACACGCCAGGGGGCGGTGGTTAGCAAACAACATGGGGCGCTGTCCTGTTTCGGCTCCAGCCTGCCAACCTGGAGGAGGGATGGGCCCCAGCAGCCGTGTCTGGGTTGTGCTGGGTTCGGTGCGACAGGCTCTGCCTAGAAGCACTTGCGGTCCAGGATGAGTGTCGGGGGCTCACTTGCTCGTGGGACGCTGGAGCCGAGCGCTGCTGTGGCCCGCTGGCCCGTCGCCCTGCCCTCGCCCTGCTGGCTGACTTCAATGGCAGTGGGGTTTGAGGTGCAGGGCATGGTGGGAAGTTCTCTCGGCGCCGGGGTGGCAGGACGGCATACGTGCTCACTCCGGGGCCTCTTGTTACCAGGAACCATCCCAGCCTCGGCCGGGAGAGATGCAGGCCAGACCCCCGCAGGTCACTGCAGGCCAGAACCCTGCTCACCTGGATTGATGGCAGACATCCCTGGCCCCGTGCGCTTGGGCTTTGGGGGTTTCCCGGGGAACTGCAGGGACCCTGTGCCCTGCTGTGCTGACAGTCAGACAGGACCCCCCCTGGGTGCTGGTCCTGCCCTGGGGACAGGGGACCATCTCCCTCACAGCGGGGCGGCCCCCTTCCTGCCTGGGTCAGGGCTGCCTGCCCTGCTCCCTCTCTGAGGCTGCCGGAGCTCTGGCTTTGCTGGGCAGGGCGGATCCCCCGCCCGTCGCCGGCTGCAGCAGGAGGATTGGCCGGGGGCACTTGTGGTGTGGGTGGAGGGTTTGAAGCCAGGCAGCCCTGGTGGAAGCTAGCTCTCCGCTGCGGGGGCTGTGCGCAGCCATGGGGTGGGGGCGCTGGCTTGTTGCTGGGTGGGGGAGCCCAGGGCAGCCCAGAGGCCTCGTGGGGCTGGTGCTGTGCAAACCCAGGGGGAGACGGGCACTGCCCAAGAGCCTGGTAGCAATCTGGCTGTGGGGGTGAGGTTTGCACGAGCTCTGCCCGTGGCAGCCGTGCCCTGGGAGAAGCTGCCTGGGATTTGCCGGGGGCCAGGCCTCAGGCTGCGGTGGGAGTGGGGTGGAGCGTTCAGGACACTGCGAAGGCATTGGCAGGAGCAGGCAGGCAATCGAGGCTGGCTGGCGATGCTGTGACAAGAGAGAAGTGGGGTGGGGCGGTGCCGGGAAGGGCCCTGATGCAGAGGACGCTGGGGGGTGGTTCGGGCAGAACAGCCGGCCTGGGAGATGATTTGGGGAGCAGCACTGACGTCCACGTGACTGGCCTTGGGGGGCTGCCCGGCTGAGTTCAGGGTGTATGGCTTGCAGGCGTGGGAGGAAGCAATGGGGCACGCCAGACATGGCTGAGGCCTGATCATGGCGGTGAGGGCGAAAGGGACATGGCGGAGGGCGAAGGGGGGACTTTGGGGGTTCCAGTGGCACCTACAGACCTGGACCCTGCTGGGGGACCCCTTTGTGCAGGGGGAAGGCAGAGGCAGGTAACGCTGGCGTCTCCAGTGGGGGCAGCGCTAGCCCCGGCCTGTGGCCGTGCCCCACGTCGGGTGTCCGTGACTGACCGGCGTGCTCTCTGCTGCCTTGCAGGCCTATGAGCTCTCCACCCTGACGGGTACTCAGGTGCTGCTGCTGGTTGCCAGCGAGACGGGCCACGTGTACACGTTTGCCACGCGGAAGCTGCAGCCCATGATCACCAGCGAGACGGGGAAGGCGCTGATCCAGACGTGCCTGAACTCCCCGGACTCACCCCCCAGGTCCGACCCCACCACCGACCAGCGCATGAGTGCCACGGGCTTCGAGGAGACTGACCTCACCTACCAGGTGTCCGAGTCTGACAGCAGCGGCGAGACGAAGGTAACCCCCTCTCCTCTGTGCCCGTGGGCAGGGCCGGCTCGGGCCCTGGCAGCCTGCCTGGTCTCTGCCCAGCGTGGGGACCACCCTGCAGCAGGGATCGGCTCGAAGGCTCCTCCCCTGCCGCCCAGACTGGGGAGCTCGCAGGGCCAACCTGGGGCTGCCTGGGGGGGACTCACCCCTGTGGTTCCCTGGCATAGTATTCTAGGGCCTAGTCTGCTGGCCTGGGTGCTGGTCCCCCTCCTTCACTCCCTGGCCCTGCCCCTGTGAGCTGGGCCCCCCTCCCTGTGGTGGGGCCGTGCCTCAGTTTCCCTGGGGTGATGATTGGGTGGGGTGGGAGCACCAAGCTCCAGAGGATCGTTTCCCGGCCTGGGCTGTGATAAGGTCACAGTCCCCTGCCCACCGGGGGCTCACTGGCTAGGAGCTGCAGAGCGGCTCTCCCCTCGGTGGGGGGGTGGGTGACAGGTGTCACTGCCCCTGCAGCCCCCTCCCCCCCCCCGCAGCCCCTCGCCCTGTTATCTCTCCGTCGGCGTCTCCATGCTCTCGCTCTCATTGATAAAAATTTGATTCTGCCTCCATGGCCATATAAGGCCTGGTTTCCCTCGCCAGAGTCCCTGGCAGGGCCCCTCACATTCCTTATAAGCTGCAGCTGTCTCTTGCTTTGGGGCCGGTTTGGAAGGGGGCAGGGAGGACATGGGGAATGGAATCATTTGGCTGGCCGGGCTGTTCCTCCTCGGCTGGCTCGGGCTCCCGCTAGCCGAGAACATGGGCCGTCGCTCTGCCCCGGGGGCTCCGAGGGGCGGGCTGGCTGGCTGGGACCCTCCTGGCTTCATGAGTCCCCTGGGCCGTCCCCGTCCCCCTGCTGGGAAAGGCTCCGTCGTGGGGGCTGGCAGCAGGGGGAGCTGAGCTATCTGGGGACATAGGCCCCAAGCGAGGGACCACGTGGTGCCGGGGGGGGGAAGGAGGCGGCTGGGCAGGCCACGGGTGGCTTCCCCGGGGTGGCTGCCGGAGCCTCTTGCCGGGAGATTGCCACCCTCTCTTTGGCACCAGTGTCCCCGCTCCCCTGGTCTGCGCCTCTGCCAGCGGATCAGATCCCAAGTGGCTTCTCCTGGCTCCGTGGTGGGAAGGAGCAGGCAGGCTGAGGGCCCGGTGGGGTGCTGCAGGTGAACAGGCTCTTATGCGGAAAGGACCTGGGGGATGGGGGCGTAGCTATCCCCTGCTGGGCGGTGTGGGTGTCTGAGCCCCAGGGGGGCGGTGGGTTCGGTGTGGAAGCCTCCCCGCTAGGATGACTCCCCTGCTCTGCGCTGCACAACTGGATTGGGGCATTGGGAGACTCCTGCCCCCCCATGGCACTGGGGGTTGGAGGCAGCACGCAGGGCTCGCTGGCCCTGGAGCCCCGGGCATCCTCCGCGGGGGGTGTGTGTGTGATATTGGCACTGTCCTGAGCAGCAGCCACCCCGTTTCCTGCTGTCCCATCTGCTCCCCTGATGTCAGTGGCTTCCCGGCTATAACAGCCCCCCATGGGGGGGTTCCAGGCCTCTCTGGACACACACACGCTACGGCCTGGACAGGCAGAGGAATGGGGCAGCTGAGGGGGGACCCTGTTAAAACCTTCCACCCCTGTGCCCTGCAGCTGAGCCCCTGGTGTGGGTGACCCAGGCCCTTGCTGGGCTGGCTTGCTGAAGGAAGTCGGGCATCTGTGGGGATCTGCTAGCAGCAGGCGGGGTGGGGTGTACGCTGCCTGTCGGCGTGCCGACCAACCGTCTGCGGCACGCCCAGCCCTGCACACCCCTCTGCTGGCTTCGTCTCACACCTCGTTTTCTGCAGCCGGGGATCCTGCCCCCGCTGGCAGGGTGCCCAGCACGACTCCCCAGGAAGCTGAGCTGGGACCGGAGTCCTGACACCCTGCACCACCGCCTCCGGGCTGAGTCTCCATGGCCGTACAGGCCGCAGCCGCCCAGCCCTGGAAACGCAGACGCGTGTCTGTCGCGAGTGCTCGCACTGCAGAGCGCTCTCCGTTCAGAGGGCCCAAGGCCAGAAGGGCCCATTGTGCTCATCCCTCCTGACACCTGTAAAGCGCAGGCCAGACAGCCTCCCCCGGCGACTCTGGCGTGCGGCCCAGACAGTCAGTTCGCGCTCGAGCCGGTCTCTGCCGCAGAGATCCAGTCGTGATGTAAAGTCTCCAAGTGTCGGAGACTTCACCTGCCCAGGGTTAATGATCTTTGCTGGTAGAAGTTGACGTCTTTTTTCCGATCTGAATGTGTCTAGTGTCCGCTTCCAGCCGTGGGCTCTTGTGTGTGTTTGCAGGGTTGGAGCACCCTGCTAGCCGAAATGTCTTCCCCGTCTATGCACTCGTAGATTGCGATCAGGTCATCTATCGGATCAACTACCTTGCTGGGCCTCCTTCAGTCTCTGGCTGTGGGAGGTGTTTTCCAGACCCCTCTCCTCCAGGTGCCTTGCTGCAGAGCCCTCTCCCATTTGTCCACATCTTTCTTTTCGTTTGAAGTGTGGACCCAGCATCCTGTAACAGTCTCCCCAGTGCAGTATACGGTGATGACCCCCCATGCTTCCTGCTTCTGCGTGATATTCCCCTGCTTTGCAGCCAAGGATCTGTTCCCTCTTTCCTACAGCAGCCTGGCACTGGGAGCTGGTGTTCAGAGTCCCTGCGTTCCGGAATAAAAGCCTCCATCCTGGGGCTTTGCTCCTCACATGTCTGACCTGGGGTTGGGCTGTGTTCAAATCCATGTCAAAGGAGCCCGCGTTACCAAGCGATCCCGATCGCTGAGTGTCCTGTCGTCTGCCCGTTTGACCGACAAGGGTGTCGGACTTTCTTCCGGATCATCGATAAGATGTTGAATGGCGCTAAGCCAGGTACAGACCCCATGGGCCCCCACTCGGAACATCCCCAGCTAGTTCTTTCCTGAGCTCTGTCGGGACGCTGGGTCTAGGGGCTGTGTGGAGAGTAGCGTTCGCTGCTCTGTCGCGTGGCGCTGAGTCTGAGGACGGGATGTCTCACTGTTACCTTCTCACCCGGTCCTGTGATCTCATCGGAAACAACAGCTGGCTTGTTTCCCAAAGACCTGTTCCCCCATGATCCTGGTGACTGGCATTAATTATGCCACCACCCTTTAATTCTCTGCTGATTGCTCCCCGTACCAGCTTTGCCAGGAGTTTGCCCAGGATTGATGCCAGGCTAACCAGCTTTATAGTGACCTGGGTCACCCAGTTTGCCTTGGTACGTTGGCACAACATTAAGGGTTTTTTGGGGGGGGCGATTCTCGGGCACTTCCAAGAGTTCCTGACCAATCAGCATTCCTGGGTGCAGCTCAGGCCGGCCTCCTGTGGCAAGTGTGTGGGAGATGCGTGAACACCGTTAAAGGCTGCGTTTGTTTAGTCTCCAGCCCCGTCACTGAGCGCAGGGCGCAGTGGAGGCTGAGCTGCTCCCAGGAGACGGATGCTCTGCGGCAGCCAGCTCCGTGCTTGTGGCGACGCGGACCCCGGAGAGTGACGAAAAGCCCCAGCCTGAAGTGCGTCCTGGGGCTCTCTGCAGTCACAGGCCCTCCAGGGGGCTTGGCTCCTTCTCAGCACTTTGCTGTGCCGTTGCTGGTGGGGCAGCCCCCTGGGAGGGGCGATGGGGACGGACGCTGCGGTACGGCCCAGGGAGGGTAGCGGAGCCGTGGCCGAGCCCTCGGAAGCACTGGGCTGGCGTATTCATACCAAAGCGAAGCAGGGAGGGGGCTCGGGTAGTGCGGCAGAGATCGGCGAGGCGGCCAGGGGCCGTGCCCTGCGGTGCTCGGGCTGTGGGGAGGATTCTGGGACTCTTCAGGCAGCTCCAGGAGTCTCTGGCTATCAGCTGACTGACCAGCTCCCTCCCTCGGGTGCCCGGCTGCACTGAGGGGTGGTGGGTCCCTGCTGCTTTCCCCCTTCACCTGCCTTTGCCTCTGGCAGTGGGCAGCCCTGGGAGAGTCCACCGGGAACAATCCCACTGATCCGAGGGTTAGAAACCCTGAGCAAGGAGGGAAGGTTTCCAAACTGGGCCTGTACCAAGCCTTGAGAAGAGGAGGCTGGGGGGGAACCTGATAACTCTTGGAAGATGCCGAGGGCTTCTACCCCGAGGAGGGTGATCAGTTGTTCTCCCTGCCCGCTGAAGGGACAAGCCGTGACGGGTATCCTGCGCTGCAGGGAGATTTAGGCGAGACGGGAGGAAAACTTCCTGTCGGGGTGGTTAAGCTCTGGCCCAGGCAGGCAGTGCAATGCCCGTCACTGGGGGGTCTCTAAGGTCAGGGTGGGCAAACCCCTGGCAGGCATGGTCTGGGGTTACTTGGCCCTGCCTCAGTGTAGTCTCCCAGGCCTCTCCCCCTCCATGGGGAGCGTCCGGCCAGCAGGGGCGTGTGCCCGGGCATGTCTCCAAGCCCCGTGTGCTGGCTAGGACCACATTTCTGTTTGGGGGGGGTGGGGGGCGTCTGGGTTTAATCCCTGTCTGCGCCCCTCGCCCCTCTCCCAGCGCCGCTGTGCGTACAGCACGTCCCAGCCGGTGCTGTGGGTTATGTTCTCCTTAGATCTCCTAAATTAAGTCTGATGGGGCCTGGCCGGCACTTGGCTGGGGAGCGGGGGGGAGGGGAGAGTCCTGCTTGTGCATCTTCTCTACCTGGCTGATCCCTGGGCTGGCCCGTCTGAGAGGCCTGGAGCCAGGCACTGACCGCGCGCTGCAGCCTTGTGTGCTCCTGGCCGTTGTCCGGGCTGCCAGCTGTTTGCTGAGGTCTCAGCCGCACGGGAGCAGAGCGGGGCTGCCAGGCTGCTGCTGAGCCCTGGGCGTGCGGGGCTGCCAGCGCCTGCAGCAAAGGGAAGGTCTGGCATGGACAGCCCCTTCTCCACCAGGGACGCCCAGCCTTAGGCAGCACCATGAGGTCCAGGAGCTCCAGCAGCATGTGAAGTCCTGTTCCTTGTGTCCCGCAGCCAGCCACCGCTGCCTGGGGATGAGCGGAGCGCGCCCGCGCTTTGGC